TGCGCCTGCCACGAAATCTGCACATCGAGATTCACAAAGTGCTGCGCGTGCCACGAAATCTGCACATCGGAGATCCAACATGAGCAAATTACACGAGGCTTTCGCAAATTTTGAAATGCGTTTCAGAAATGCTGTGCCTGCCACGACATCATGCCTGCAGGTCATGCGAAATGCTGCACTGGCCACGCAAAAGCATCCTCAACTTCAAATTCCAAAAATGCGACCCCTCTCACGAATTCACCCGTTTCACCTCAAAATATCGCATCCATGGTGCGGATTCCCTGCGCCTGCCACGTGAAACGCAATCCTGCGAATGACACACGCCTGCCAACGTTTTTGCAACGTCCACAAAACACTGCGCCTGCCACGAAATTTGCAAAGTCTCCGATTCCTTGCAGCTGCCACGTAAAATGACCTTTTCGAGGCTCCAATGTGTCGAATTCCTTGCGCCTGCCACGCAAAATGCACTTCATGTCCGAAAACGAGCACGGCACCTGCACAATTGAGCTTTGTCCCGGAAGCGCGAAAGACGCGGCCACCACTTTATGCGAGCCTGCGCAGTCGAAATGGACATGAGGAATTCAAAAAGTAACGCAAACTGCCGCAGCCACACGCGCGAACCCTGATCTGAACCCGCTTAACTCTTACCGTAAGAACCCCTTAGTGCGGAGCACTATTTGGGGAACAATGACATTCTTTGGCACTGTTCTTGGGATCTCTTCCATTCTCCGCCCGCTGCTCCCGCTGCTCTCGCTTTTGGGCTCCACTCCGCTGGGTGATCTTCGGCACTCCTCGTCCGAACCGCTGGCGTCGCTGGAGCTGTCGGAGGACCTGCAGTGTCGCTGGATCTGTCGCAGGGGGGGGCGAGCTGGCGATGCATGGGCGAGCTGTTTCTCGAAAGGTTTCTCGGTGTCGGCTGGGCTGGTGTCGAACCGATCAGCGTTTTTTCCCAAAAAGGATCTGTGGGGGCTTCGTTCTGGCAGATATCAAATCAACTCTGTGCGACACATGCAACTTTGGTGTGTGAAGTGATGCTCTGTCAGGTGTGAGGTGATGCTCTTGTGGCTATGACGCTCCATGGGGGAGTTTTAGCGTCACCAGGAAAGTTCATCCTAGGCTTTCCCTGGATGAGTTGCAGGCCTACCTGCCAATGGCGGGGAGTTCACAAGGAGAATGGCGGAAAATAAGGCAGTTCCATGCCATGAATGAAGAGACAAAAATCTTTGAATGCGGCTGCTTCTGGGAAAGCAAATCGAGACTGCTTGGATTACACCTGTTTGTCCTACAACCAGTGGTCTTTGTGGAATTGTCAACATATCCAAGTAGCAAAACACGTTGGATGAACAACAATGTATGTGTAAATATCTGTATATATATGTGCAGTATATATATGTATACATATGTATACATATTTATATATCCAGGGTGGGCCTGGCGTCAGCCCAACTCAGTATACGGGGCTAATCTTAGAGTAAATCTTTGTGATTCGAGGATTTGCTGACGTCGCCACCCTGTGAAAAGTGACAATCAAACAAAGACCTGTCCAAAAAACAAGGCGAGCCCGCGGACCCAAAAGCAAAAAGAAGCGCACAACCCAGGAAAAATAAACAAGCATTAATTAGCAGGCCAAAACGAAGCATCAGCCCCCTCCAGGCTTCGTGG